TGAAATGTAGGACCAGAACTGTATTGTTTTGTTAGTTTTCCTTATTGCTTTTTATTGTTTATTTTATTTTCCAGGGCTATTGAAGTCGTAATGTTATGTTGAATGCACTGCTATGCATGGTGCCACCGATGTAAGGCACAAATAGCGTGCAATGTTGAGATGTATGTCTTAAAATCCAATAAAGTGTTTTGCTAAAAAAAAAAAGTTGAGATCTCCATGTCATAAATTCCCAACTCCGCATCACCTAAGACTTTGGGGTTATCCCGTTTACCTTTACATGTTCCAGATTCTCCAGTTGCATTCCTCTTAACATAAAACAAATAAATAAATCACCAGGGACAGCGGGACCCCTCATAATAGCCACAGCTGGTATGTAGACCAAGGAAGTCATGCAGAGGGATGTCACCAATAGAGTTTCAGAGAGAAAAAGGAACCGGTTAAGTGATGCAAATCCCCATCCTCTACCAGTTTTGGGTGGACTGATCCTTATATTGAACCATTGCTTGAATAAAAGTCATTTAGCAGTTAGCTTGTTCCCTCACATCCGGCTTCCATCTTTGGGTAGATTACCAAGTTCTTTTATCTTAATAGTAAACAACTGCACATCAAAGTGCTCATTGTGGGGAACACATTTGTTTAAAGTCAGGCTTAATTAACTTAAATAATCTCTGATACATTGGTCATATGCAGAGGAATCGGACCTATTCCATGCACATGCCATAGATCTGCCCATCTGTTGGCTGGACCAAGCTTTCGGTTCTGCTGGTGTTCTGTCTACTTAGACGGACAGGTCTCATATGTACATTCATATCAACATTTTCTTACTTTTTAAATCAAATCCAAATTGGTCGCATGTGCAATGCAAATCAAACAGGGCCAAATGTAGCAGCAGAAGATGAGAGTAACCTCTCTAGAAAATATATAGTGGACCCTCAAAAGTTCTATTAATTTTGCATCAAACGATGATCATCTTTAATTGGCTTCAGTGGGTGATGTGCTTTGTGTATGTATTCCTGTTCAGTAATCCAGCGTGAAACTTTGCCTGTGCAGAAAAATTCTATATTAAGACCAGTCACTGCTGCTCTCTCTCCTTGTGCAGGGTGCCTGGCCTTGTCTCCACCCAATCCTGTTGTTTTTTGCAGGCTGCATGTAGTGGATGGGGCCTGATTTGCTCCGCCCCTTTGTTGACATGCAGGAGCAAAGCTGTCATTATGCGGCCGGTGTTTGTCGGGATGGGTCGTGGCGTTGGGGATTTTTGCTTTCGGCAGCCGTTGTCCATCGTGATTGACGTGAATCTACATCACTGGATGATCGTGATTTTATTATTATAGGGGTGGCCCTGTTTCTAAGGCATCCCTTGTTCATGCCCCTGTCCTATTGCACTTTGTGAACTTACAGTTTTGGAAGGTTAAATGATGAGAGGTGACGGGTTCTGCTATTCATATAACAGTAGATGATTAAGTAGATGGTCTCAAACTTTTGTATTTGCTTGAAAGCGATCGTTCAAACAAAAAGATCAATTTGCATCCATTTGTATGGCTTTTCCATCTTCCATGAATATGATCATTTATTGGTCATGCTGCCCATTTAGTGTAATAACATTTCTAAAAGGTACTTTTCTTTCATCAATGCATTATATAAAATAGTCTGATCATTACTTGTATGGTCAGCATCATAGATAGCAGAAAAGCCTCAGAAAGCAGGTTAAAGGAAATGTACATCGTTGTCAGTTATTTTGGATATATGTGTACAAAAGATCGGCTTCATGTAAATTATGGTGTCAGTGTTAATGTTTTAAAAACCTTGTTCCTATTGTATAATTTGTAATTCTATATTTACATGGGGGCCAGCTATGGTGGATGACACTGGTCCAACCAGGAAGTGATGCAGCATGTGAGCAATTAAAGGAAATAAAGTGCTACCAGGAGGGCAGTAAGGAGCTCAGTAGAGAAAAATAACATGATAAACTGTTACTAGATTTGGGGTAGAATTATAAAAAGCTGGAGTGAGGCTTTAACCACTTGCTGTCCGGAGCAATTTCTTACTATTTGCTCACAAATGATAAAATCTGAATTTTTGGCTAGAAAACAGCTTAAGACCCCCAAACAATTACATATTTTCTGAAAGCAGAGGCCCTGTGGAATAGAAAAATGCTGGTTGCAATTTTTTGTTTCGCACAGCATTTGCGCAAATGTTTATCAAACCAGAATTTCTAAGATAAAATACACTAAAATGAAATATAGTGCACAGAAACAGAATATAATACCCAATTTTTTTGGTAAAATATAAAAGACAGGGTCACGTCGGGTAAATAGATACCAAGCATGCAAAAAAACTACAATACCCCAAATTTCCTATAGGTGAAGCTTTAAACGTTTTACTGATCATCAGTTTAGCATTACCAGTGATAGATGGCCCTAGAATTATTGCTCTCACTCCGAGGTTTGCGACGATATGTAACATGTGTGGCACCATTTTCGTTTTTGAAGGGGCACCCGATGCATTTTTGTGTTATATGTGTGTGCAAATGGGGGTCGGGGACTTTAAAGAATGTTTGGGGGGATTTAAAAAAATAATTTTTATATGTTACTTTAATTTATTTTATTTTTTTTACACTCATCTTTATTGCTATCACATAGGGGGCTAAGAATCCCTCTATGTAATAGCAAATATAATGTGGCAGGTCCTCTTTATGGAGACATCAGGGGTCTTTCAGACCCCTAATGAAACCTAGGGACCCCAAAGAAGCTGATGAAGCAGAGATCTGCTTCACCAGCTTCTTCTCCTGGCTCTAAGAGCCGGAGAATGTACACAGTAACACCGGAAATTATGTAATACACATCACTTCCAGGTCCAGTGATTGGAGGAGAGTTCAGCGGCTGGTAGCCTGCTGATGTCTCTCCGATCAGTCAAGGGAGACCCGTCATGCCGAGGACAGTGAAACCCGGGGGCTGTACAGCAGTCGGATTGCTTGTATTTAAACAGCCTGCTGTTTAAAATGATACCGATTGTGATGAACTACAATCTCAATACAAATTAGTAAACGAGATGTTGTAGTCCATCACAGGAGTGAGCTTGGAGCGGTGACTACTTTACAACACACACAGGAACCATGGGGAACAAAAGTAGCCGCCCTCCAGAAGGAAGGACAGTGTCAGCACCAATTCAGAGATGATTTGAGGATCTACAGCCGAGTGATGCACCAATAAGATGCATTTTTGTGAATAGTTAGGGTACTTGAATGTATTTTTAGGATATAACTCCGGAGTTTAGTGTCACTTTAAGAAGGGAAGTTCAAATGAAGAGCAGTCAGATTCAGAGCTCTCTCTGGGGTTCAGAGTACAACAAAAGAATGCAATCACAAAAATATGGTGGAGCAAGCTTGGAAAACATTTAGGGAATAGAGACCCAATTGCTTTGATGTGAGTGTAACCTGCTGCAGAAATTGCAGTTCCCTATGAAATCTAATTCATCCATCCATGATAGCATAGCTCTGTACCAGTCAGTCAGTAAGGTGGATGTGGAACAATGCCGATTGTAATGCTTCCTTTACCTCCTTCCTTTCCTACTCTTGCCTTCCTCTCACACTGTACAGCAGAGACTCAGGGATTTAGGTTCTTCCATCTTCACTATACTACATTTCCTATGATATTCAGCAGCCACTGACTATGGATATCCAGTTATTATCTTTGCTGTTTAAAGATCCATTTGTTCTGTGTGTTGTACAAGAGAAAGGAAAATCACATAATTTGTAGTTATGCAGTAATGAATGAGTAATGAAGCTCTTGTGCTGGCGTTTATTGTGTAACGCAGAGAAAGAAAACCTGTGTGACTAGCATAATGCCATGATAATTTGCCTCTACTTTTGTATGAGATTTGTAAATTCACCTGTGTGACAAAAGACAGCAACTACAGCGATCAAAAATTCCGATTCTCCTAATAGTGGAAAAGTGCTCATCTGTCACTATTAGATGAACTTTAAGAAACATTTTTTGTAAGCATGGATTTGTATAAATATGGGCTCTGACATTTAGTAAGTAACTGATGTGGGATGAGTATGGAGATCAGGAGTCCCCACACGTCACTGTTAGGGCCAGGTCTCTATTTAGGAAACATAGACCGGCATTGGACATCATGAGTACCAGGGACAGCACACTGCCAACCACAAATCATGTTCCTGGCTGTCATTTCACATTCCTGTGAATAACAAGATTGTCCCACTGCCCTCCAGAACCATCTTATTGGGTCCTCATTGTTGCTGCATCTGTACGGTTTGTGCATTTTTCTTGGTGGTAGTTGCAGCTCATCACTCTGGGCCAAACACCTAGAACCGAACTAGCAGAGGATAGTTTTTCTCCTGTTACTATTTCTAAGTGCACTGGTACAGGGGTAACCGTCTACACTATTTCAGTCTCTCTATCCTCTGCCTCTAGTTCTTGTACAGCTCTGAACTCAGAGCTTGTTAGTGTGGCATTAAGGCTTGCCACTCAACTGGGTTTGTATGGATATACAAAACAGTCACCGTAGGGGTGAAGGTGGGGAATACAAAATAGCCTAGAGATTAAGGAAGGGCATAAAAAAGTTAGCCTTGGTGGGAAGGAGGGGTGTTCAAAACAGTTGGCCATAGGGGGCAAGAAGTATACAAAAAGTATACATCTGGAGGTATACTTCTGTCCTTGGTAGTTGTCCTTGTAAGTCAGTACTAAGTAGGCAAAAACCCCTGAAATTGCACCTTCCAAAACAAGTCAGCAATGGCAGTTGTGTAGGTTGGAGAGGTTGCCTTTCGTAAAACCTGAAGTCTGATCCAAAGGATGAGTCTTCAGTGTTGTTTCTAGACACGTCTCCCTCACTTTCTCTGGGCAGTAAGCAGCATTTGTAAAGGCTGCTATGTATCTTAGACTGATCCCTGAGAAGATGGGTTCTAAAAAAGTATAGCACGTTCTGAGAATGGAATGGGAGGCTGGTTGTGTTTTAATAATGTCTGCCTTGTTTTTTCACAGAGCCAACGCTCAGCCTGCTCCAGGAGGCCCAACATCAGATCCCTAACTACATGCAAAATCCATATGACTTGCCAAGGAACAGCCACATCCCCAGCCACTACGACCTGCTCCCTGTCCGGCACAGCCCCTTGCATGGAACTTTCTGGGATAAGCAGATGGATAAGGAGTCTTTATAGAAGTGTGAGGAAAGTGACGGAGAAATCTCTCATTCTGCAATACGCCCATTCTGTGGGGGGCCAGCGCCACTGGGCACATGCATGACGTCATTAGGAGACTCTTTTTTTATACACATAGGATGTATCTATAGGACAAGTCACTGTGTGTATATATCTATGTATATGTGTGTGTATTAATCAGCCTCCGAAGAGGTGCACAGGTAAAGAGGGGGCTATTCCAGGGGATGTTCACCAAGATGAGTCAACTGTGGAAGTAGCAGTTTACACACAACGAAGGATAATATTTGTATATATATGTATATAGTTCAGCTTTCTCTAAATAACTGTATATATGTCATTTCCAATAAGAGCCGACGTTCAGAGGGCAATACTCACAGGTTTATTTAACAAGGCAGGGCAGAGAGCAATGGTAATATGCAAAGCGCAAGTAGCCATAACAGTGATGTCAGGGAAACATGATTGCTGATTGGTTGTGTTGGGTTACTATACTTTGCACCCCATCAGTGCTCTCTTGCAATGCTTTATGAGATAAAACTGTCAATATCTTAATGAATGGTAACTGCAATATTCCTATTATATACTCATTAACATGAGCTGTATTTCAGAGCCGTTGGCGTTTGCCATTGCTTGTGGACACGCATAGGGTGTAACTGCATAAGTCTTGGGTACTGTGTGTTAGCCACACACAAATTCTCAGAGGACTGTATCTGGGTAACTGGCTACCACTTAGCTGCGTTCAGCAGAAAGACGCAATTATATCTATCAAGATGGCAAATAAAAGTGGCTGACTGGTTCCAGGTAAAGAGGAGGGAGTTACACTGCAAGGTCTTGGACACTTTCAAGTGTTATGCCATCTAACTGCTCTTGTGACAAAAACATCATGGAAAGAACAAAATCCGAAAATCAGACCAAATCAACCTGTTCCAAATCGAACAGATGAACCTTGTTTACTGCTAATAAAATCAGGCTTTTTATCCTTCTCCTCATTTCGTGGACTCTGTTATTGTGCTGGGATGTAAATAAACCCCACGGTAGACAGGAGTAGTAGTGACATTCTTTCTGGTGCATGTACCTATGAATAATGCAGACAATGCGGTTCAGGTGTGCAAACTATTACATATAGTACCATGCTGCTGCTTTCATAAGAGGTGACTTTAGCTTTGACGAATGTCTCTTATTAGCAGTGATGTCATTTATATTCCGTAAAACCTTATGTTGTAGTAGTACACCATTTTCCTCAACCTGCAGTATTCAGATAATGATAAAAGTGAGCTGTGGAGTTTGCAATCATCCTTTATCCACTGCAAATATATTCTAATTATCTTTATACCATTGGCCCATAACCCACCGTCCTGCAACCTTTTCCTAATTTTGAAGGAGGAATCCTGTCAGCCATAATGATTCTAATGCTGTAACCTATAAGCAGATACTGAGCATTTTTCAACCAAATCTCCCAGTAGCCATAAAAACAAGCACAAGTCATCTAAACTGTTTCATTCCATTTCTTAAAGTGGAGCACCAGCTAAAAATAGGATAGTGTACTCACCGTCAAATCCTTTTTTTTTTTGGTGTCAATTGAGAGACATACGAATTCTTAGAATTAAAGGGTTTGGTTAAAGCGCAGAGGGGTTAGAACCTCTGTTAGGTATGCCTCAGTTAAGAATTCCTTCACTTCCTTTCCCATTGTGGAATATGTACCCCCTTCAAGTAATTATCTCCCAGGAGGATCAGCCCTTTCCATTAAAATGGATCTAAACTCATCCTTAGTGTGGCACTCACTGCCACTTGTGCACATAGTTCACCAGATGATCTTAGGAGAGTTTATTAATAGACAAAAACAGATTGAGCACCCCAAATACAAAAAACATACCATGGTGAAACGACTGTTATCAGCCAACCGCAGCCACTCATACCTGCATACAATGACAACATTGTCAACAGTCTTAACATGTCACCATGGGGTGTGTTTTTGTCTATTGTTGATATAAAGGAATTGTATTACACCCAACTTTCCTAAGAATCCTCTACTCCTGTATAATGATGTGCAGGAGCTTGGGGTGGACCCAGTTTATCGAAGTTCGCCCAAGCCTGCAAAACTGTGACTGGCACACCCATCCTCCGTGCTCAATCAGTTGCAGCAGAGGGATACCCCACAACTGACTGGGCTGGGAGGGGGGTGTCTTAGTCACAGTTTAGCGTGGGCTTGGGCAAACTCAAGCAAACTGGGTTAGCACCAATCGCTACTTCCTGTAGTATCTCTGTAGTATCTGCCAGTTTTCTACAACATTCCATACACTAACATGGTTATTCACAAAAGGGGTGAAGAGTTTGGGGAAGGCAGGAGAAGTGAACAATCTGGGACAACATAGCTGAACTGGAAAGTGAGCTAATTTGGAGAATGTTTCCAAATCAGCCATTGTCAGGGGTGTACGGCTGGGCCGTGGGTGGAACAAAGAGTCCAAAAACGAGGTACAGAGGGGAAATCCAAAAGCATAGTCAGGTCCAAGTCCGGGTCGAGGCAGGCAGTTAGGTTCAGAAGCGAGAAGGCAGGCCTAAGGGTCGATAACGGGGGTTCAGGAAGCAACAGGTTTACACACAGGGAGCTAGCAATCACACCATAGAGGTAGAATAACTCAGCAAACAGCCACGGCTCTGACTGGTTTAAATACCCAGGGAAACCAAGGACCACCCCCTGGTTGCCAAAGGTGACCAGGAAGCTTCCCTAACCAGGAGCCAATAGCAGGGCTGACGGGGCGGATGGTGTGTCTTGGGGACCTCCCCCAGCCTGGCTAGCACCTGAAAGCAATAGGTGGCGTGGGCGTATTACGTGCGCCCCCGTGCATGCAGTCTGTGGACTACGCGCGCCGCGCATTTCGCACATGCGTGCCGGCGGCCCCGGCGCCAGGAGGAGGGGAACCCCGTGCCCTGCGCCACCGCTGGCGAACCTGGTAAGAAGCAGCACCCCTGGTTCCCTGACAGCTATTTTGTCCTAGAGTGTTCACTTCTACCCTTCACCCTTTTGTGAATAACCCTGTAAATATTGTTGACCTTTTTTAAGAGGCCACACTGAAGACCCTCTATAAAGGTTGACCACCATTGACCTACTTTGTAGAACTGTGCTAATAAAATGAATCCTGTATTTAGTTGTAAAGCCTCTGTTACCATTCATTCAGAAAAGCAGAAGTGGATGTGTCTGATGAAATACATCTAAAACACTCTGTCAAACCCCTGGCCCGGGGTGTGGGAGAGGAGGTGAATCAGCCTCACACCTATGAAAGAAACATTATATGCCGGTGGTGTGTGTGTGTCAGCAGAGCTGCTGTATATTATGCCCCTGTAGGGATTGTCTACACATTGCCTGTTTGATTCCACAGCAGAAGGAAATGATTACTTTAGAAATAGATCATTCTCAGAACAAAAGTTCATGTTCAGCTGGAGGGGAGAAACTATCAAGGGAATTTTGAAATGCTCATTTAATCGTTCAGTTTCCTACCACCAATACATAACATGGGCCTACATACGTGCAGTGGTAGTAAATACTAAGCATCACATTTCCCCAAACAGAACAACGCAGGTGTAGCACAGGAAACTGCTAAGCACAATTTATCTGTGGAAAATGTTATTGATTAAACCAAGCACCCACAGAGAGGGTCACGTGAGAGCTTTCCAGCCTTTGATTTTCTCAGTTGAAAACTGCAGCATGCAAATCCATTGCTCAGCTGATGAAAAAATCAGCATGTCAGAGTGATAGTAAAGAAAACAGACATGAAAAGCTTATCATAGAGCTGTCAGGGCAGAATTATGTAGGCTGTCATTGCTGACTTCTTTGAAAATGTTAGTTCCTTGGCTGTCATGCTGATCTCCTGGCTTCAATACTTTGTGAGCCGTGTTTCAGGAACAAGGCTAGACATTTGGAATGCCGACACTCATTTCCAGCATGCTTGTTCTGGGTCAGTGATTCCAAAGTATAGAAGGTGTGGACACAGTCAGGCAACTAGCATTTGTATAGAAGGAGGCCAGCAATGATAGCCACCGTACTTTTCTCCTGACTGATGGACTTTAAAGTGACCTGTCGCCAGCTAACACAAATAAAAAGAAGGGCTCTATGGAATCTATGGAAAAGACGTTTGCTCATGCTTTCCTGTCCCACCGTATTGTATTCAGAGATGGTGCTGCCTGATCTGTGTTCAGCACGTGGCACACTTCCGGCTGTGTTGGGTTCCTCCAATGTGGACACAGTAGTGATGTAGGGGCTGGTGGAGTAAGCCACAGAGTGCAGCGGTGCACTAGGTATTCGACACGCCTGGGAATGTGCCAGCTACTAAGGATTGTTCAGGCAGCTCCATCTCTTGAATACCAGGAATGGTGGAGCCGTGGATGTAGACTCTAACAATGAACATTTCTTATTTGCTCCCTTTTGGTCTGTTAAGTATACATTTGAAAATGTTTTGTGATATCTGTTTGAGAAGTGCAAAAAATACCTGTTGATCTTGTCAGAATATCAGAGCTGCCCTGTTCCCTCTGCCTGTGTTATCTCAAAGAGACAATTTAACCCTCCTTGTTCTTATTTTGGACTACAAGTCAGTTAGTGCCATGGGTGTGGATAAAAAGACAATGGGACTGGTTGAGTAGTTAAGCAAAGGACAATGGGCAGTGTTGACATTACCCAGGCTACAAAAATGCGGTGTTGCCAGCCAGGGCCGGTGCTAGGATTTTTGCCTAGACAGGCAAAGTTGCATTTTTGCACCTCCCCCGACCCCCTGTAGCACTGGGCCTGCTCCCTATCAGCATGTTTTTTGTTCTTCACTTACCTTCGGTGCGGGAGAGTAGCGGCGAGTCAGCGCTGGTCCGGTGGGAGGAGCTCCAGGTGGGGTCCTAATTTAGCTGGCCGGCGACTGCCAGAGGTGCCGCGCGTGACGGGATCCTCTGGTCCACCGGACCAG